TCTCCATCGGGTGGGGTATTTTCCATTTCTATTTCAAAATTAATTTTTTCTATATTTTTAAATAATTTCAAAACTAATTTTTTTTTAATGAATTTTCTATATTTATTATAAAGTATTTAATTTGTTTTGAAATTTATTTAGATGAGAAAAATACTTTATATTTGGCGTACAAATGAAGTAATTAAAGAGAGTTATTTCCGGCTTAATAACATTATTTTATTTCTTAATTTCCATAAATGCATGATTATTTATTTATTTTTTATTTTTTTTATATCTTTGCTTAGAGATAGAGAGAGAAACAGGGGGTGCTGAAAAAGATGACCAAGCAAAAAAAAAATAAAAAAATAAAAAGAAAAAGACAGATTCAGTGACCGTTTTGAATTCAAATTCAAATAAACTTGAACCGTAATCTGACACCTCCTGTGACTTTCGAAGGTTGCAAAAAGGACCCACACAGAGGGAACAAAACCCTAAGGACACCTACAGATGGAGGTATCAGATTCGTCTGTGACGCTCAAAAGGAAACCCGCAGGCGAAACTCAAATGGGCTCCATCTCTTGTGTCCGCTCCTAACGAATACCGAGTTTTGGACCGACGGTCAGGATCTTCCTGAATTCAAAATTATCCAAATTCCCCGCCTTAAAGAAAAAACCTGTAATTAATTAAAATCCCCTTTATTATAAATCACACTTGCCCTCTCCCCCTCGTTTTCGTTAACGCTCTCTGTTCTTCTTTCGCCGTGTCTCTCTTCAAATCCAAACCCCATCGGTCAAATTCTCTTCAAATCTCAACAACTTTATCTATCTTTTCTTTCCCTCCATCCCCCACTTTTTTCTTTTGGTGGTTGATTTTGATTCTGCGCTTTCTTGGTGCCTCTCTTCTCACGCCAAGAAGGTTGGAGTTGGAATAGAAGAGAGATTTGTTCGAATTCTATTAGTTTTCTTTCAATTTCTTAAATTCTCATCTGGGTTTGATCCGCCATGCCTGCCCATAATCGCCGCTCGTCGTTTTCGTCGTCGACGTCCTCGTCGTTGGCTAAACGACAAGCGTCCTTGGCTTCGTCGACCAACAATGTCGGAAAAGTTATGGTGGTTCCGCCGCATTTGGCGAAGAAACGAGCTCCACTTGGTAACTTAACGAATCTTAAGAATGCGTCTCATAGTGCTGCGAAAAGCTCTGTTCCGCCCCCTGTTATGGTACTTACTTGACTCTTGATGGTTTTTGTTGTCTGGCTTCATTTCGTTTTGTTTTGATTTTTTTTTTTGGAATTTGACTTTCTGAGTGTTTCTGAAATGAATTGTTTAAATCTTGTCAATGGAACCCAGTTTCATTGCTGAATCTCTGTACCCTTTGTTGTTTCCAGGTACCCTGTGCAACCAAAGCTGTCAAGACCAGAAAGGCACCGACATTGCTTGATGTCAAAACGACCAGTGTAGTTGTCCCTAGCAATGTCACAACTTTATCAAGAACTGATGCCACTGCTATCTCAAGTAGTATGGCTGTCTCTCCGACTAAATCAGATGGAGCTTCAGTTTCCATGGATGAAACTATGTCTACTTGTGATTCTTTCAAGAGTCCCGACGTCGAGTACGTGGACAATAACGACGTCCCAGCAATAGATTCTGTTGAGAGGAAAACTAAAAGCAGTCTCTGCATTTCAGGTCACGTACCAATTAAAGGTTAGCTCATGGACAAATACTTGAGGAAGTGTTTTTTTCCAAACCAATTGTTCTTGTTTTGTACAAATTTCTCAGCAGCTGTTTGGTGCCATTTGCAGGTAGCATATGCAACAGAGATGTACCAGCAGAAATGGAAACAGATGGCCGCATCATTGATGTTGATACTGATTTCATGGATCCCCAACAATGTGCTACAATTGCTTGTGATATCTACAATCACTTGCGAGCATCTGAGGTGATGATTCTCTTCTTTAATTTACACCCATTGTTATGCCTTGAGAATTAGTTTTTAGTTTTGAGGTTGTTGAGGATTATTGGGAGTGAGTCCGTTAATTTAGTGGAAGATCATGGGTTTATGAGCGAGGAATACTATCTTCATTGGTACGAGGCCCTTTTGGGGAAGCCCAAAACAAAGCCATTAGAGCTTATGCTTATAGTGACAATATGATACCATTGTAGAGAGTCGTGATTTCTAACCGAGGTCTGATTGTTTAATGTTATTAATGTTATTGGTTCAGGCAAAGAAAAGGCCTTCGACGGATTTCATAGAAAAAGTTCAGAAGGATATAAATTCAAATATGCGAGCCATACTGATTGATTGGCTCGTGGAGGTAGCAGAAGAGTACAGGCTTGTGCCAGATACTCTATACTTGACTGTGAATTACATCGATCGATACCTATCGGGAAATTCGATGGATCGACAACGGTTACAGCTGCTTGGTGTTGCTTGCATGATGATTGCTTCGTAAGAATTCGATACCATTGATGATCTTTCCGTTTCGTTTTCTTTTCGATTTGATCGTCTGATGTTGACTGTAAGAAATGTGCATTATTCCAGAAAATATGAAGAGATCTGTGCACCTCAAGTGGAAGAGTTTTGTTACATAACTGATAACACATACTTCAAAGAAGAGGTTTTGCAAATGGAATCATCTGTCTTGAATTACTTGAAGTTTGAAATGACAGCTCCAACACCCAAATGTTTTTTAAGGTAGTCAGTCAATGAATTGTTGTTGTGATGTTCACTTTCCTTTATAACCATTTCTTCTTTGTTGCAGACGATTTGTTCGTGTTGCTCGAGGCGTCGATGAGGTTTCATCAATGCAGTTGGAGTGCTTGTCGAACTTCATCGCTGAATTGTCTCTTTTAGAATACAATATGCTCTGCTACGCCCCGTCGCTCATAGCTGCCTCGGCGGTTTTCTTGGCAAAGTTCATTCTTCTCCCGACTAAGAGACCATGGGTATGGAACCATCCTCTATCTCTATCAACTCTAGTATGTAAGGGTGTGCAAACCTCTCTCTAGCAGACGCGTTGACAGCAATATGTAATGATAATATCCGTAAGCAGTGGACTTTGCAAATAAACCAATTAAGCTCATCCTGCTCTTGTGATCTTTGGTACAGGACCTCACCTTGCAACATTACACACATTACCAGCCATCCGATCTCGTCGACTGTGTTAAGGATTTGCATCGCCTCTGCTGTAACAGCCATAGTTCAAGCTTACCAGCAATCAGAGAGAAATACAGCCAGCATAAGGTCAGCTTCTTATCCACTTCTGCCTGACAGAACATGATTCTAAGTTAAATTCATACGTTGTTATGCTGATATGTTGGTGTTTTTTTGCTAAAGTACAAACATGTGACAACGAAGTACTGCCCTCCGACAATACCGACCGAGTTTTTCCAGAATCGAACCCAGTAGAGACAGTGAAGATTGGAGAGAGACATAAACTGCCACTGCTTCTTTCTGCACAATGTCGGGATCTTGGCGGATGGTTGTAATGTTGTAGCTAATTACGAAAATTCCGAGATTTGTACAAAGATCAGTTCATATGTTTGTCATCCTTCCTCATAATTTGATGTTATAAAGAGCAATGAAGGGGAAGTGACTCCGAGAAATCTTTACATTGATTCTTTTTTTACTTCATCTTAACATTGTGAATATACCGTCAGGTCGTCAGTTTTGAAATTCTTCTCGTCGTCTTCACCCGCATTCATTGAAATGATATCGAGGATATTTAGCTTGACTTATTGAAGGATTGAGGTTGCTAAACTAAATGGGTTCGGATACGACAAGAATATTTGTTAAAATCACACCATTTAGATGATGGTGAAAGTTCTCTTTATAATCATTTACCGAGTAAATAGAAAAAGCGATAAATAGATACAAGATATTTGCGTCGAATATGATACTTATGGTAAACCGTAATAAGAGACTGTTGAGAATTATTGAGGGTGAGTTTCACCTTGATAATTTAGAGGAAGATCATGATTTATAAGTGAGGAATATTATGTCTATTAGTACGAGGTCTTTTGAAAAACCTTAAAACAAAACCACCAGAGCTTATACTCAAAGTGAACATTATCATACTACCGTGGAGAGTCGTGATTCCTAACACATGGTATCAGAGCCATACCCTAAACTTGTCAATTGAATCCTCAAATATTGAACAAAGAATTGTGAGCCTCGAAAGTATAGTTAAAAGTGACTAGAATGTCGAACAAAGGGTGTACTTTGTTCAAGCGTTCTAAAGAACGGAGTTGAGTCTCGATTAAGGGGAGACTATTCGAGAGCTCCATAAGCCTCAGGGGAGGTTTATAGTGTACTTTGTTCGAAGGAAGAATTACCGAGAATTATTGAGAATGAGTTTCATATTGGTTAATTCAAGGGTAGATCATGGATTTATAAATGAGAAATATTATCTCCAAATGAAACATTTTGGGAAAGCCTAAAGGAGAACTTATGTTCAAAGTCGATAATATCATACCATTGTATAGAGTCGTGATGACTAACCGACAAAGCATTTATTTTTACCCCCTCCGGAAGAGAACAGTTGTGGTCGGTTGGGAAGGTGAAAACGTGGAAGGCCTAGAAGAACTTGCCGCCGGCCGTGAAGACTATTCTGTGGCCGCCGTGGGAATTGCCGCCGACGGCGGAAGGTAAGAAGATAAGTGAATAAGTAAACAGAGCAGAATCAGAGACATGGCCAGTAGTGAAGTGACAGTCGAGACCACAGAGGTGCAGAAAAGCACAAAGAAGAACAAGGGTGCCGTAAATGGTCGGGAAGTAGACACGCTGGCAGATAAGTGGGTCCTACATTTTTGGAGTTCTGTTGACGTGGAAAATCATTATTGGGTCAGTTACATCGTTTGTTTGAAATTTTGAAAACAAATTTTTTTAAATAATAGAAAATTAAAATCCAACCTCAACTATGAAACCACATTTATTTATTTACATATAAATAAATAAATAAAAAAGAAAAGGAAAATGAAATTGACAATTTTTTGGAATCATAATAACAATTATTTTTTCGCGGAAAAACATAGAAAACGAAAATTTGATCAATGAAGAACATACTCTCAAGTAAATGCGTTAAGGAACTGAATCACTGTAGCAGCTGAATTTTCTCTGCTCCTCACTTTCCTGGAAATTTACAGATTTTCTCTTCCTCTCTCTCTCTCTGCCACAGAAGTATTTTAAGTTTTCGGCATTTTAATTTCAATCCAAATCTACTGAGCATTTCTTTTGTTTTTCGCTTCTATCCTTCAGGAATTTCTGCGATTTCATAAATGAGCTTTTTGAGGCCGTTTATGTTGTATTCTACGCTGCGATGGATGACGTGCTCGAGTTGGGGTTTTCCAAGATGGCCTGGATTTGACGGCTTGCTCAGATGTCTTGTGGTTTTGATTTTGTGGTCTATGTATTTGGAAATTCATTTCATTCCATCGTCGTCAATGTATCCAACTCTTCGTATCGGAGATCGAATTCTCGTCGAGAAGGTAAATTTGTTGAGTTCCTCTGGTTTTAAGATGAATTTTGGAATTATCGATCAAATTTTGAATCGATTTAGGTTTCTTCTGTTGTTCTGAGTTGATTTCTTGAGTTCGCCTAGATTTTTTAGGGCATTGTTGTGCATGTTAAATGATGATCGTAGAAAAGTAGATGTGGATTGAGATCAGATCGAACTCTATGTTGGTTATTTACTTGGGATACTTAAACCCTAGAGTTCTCGAGACAAATGAAATGCTCAACGATAACAAGAATGAAAGGAACTGTTGATGTCATTTACCTTAGACTTCAAGGAAATTTTTCATGTGATCTTTTTCAAACTAATACTTAATGTTCTGATTGCATCTTGTTCTTCTACAGGTTTCTTATTACATCAGAAATCCTTCTATAGATGACATTATAACCTTCCGAGACCCGACACAGGTTAGTTTACAGATAACTATCCTATATGTCTTTTACTTCAACAAATTTGCTTTTTAACAGTACTCTGTTGGAATAATGGCGTGCTATAGCAATCTGGACGCAGAGAAGAGAACCTCGTTGTAAAGAGAGTTGTTGCTAAAGCCGGAGACATGGTTGAGGTATGTAAGAGCTTTCTTATCATTACGCTATTGCTATGTGTCACATTCGTACTCTTGCGGTATTAGGACAGCGATTGTGCGACATTTGTTCTAACTCAGTGAACAAGTCAGCTGTGAGAAATTCAGATTCGGGACAACGTTGCGTATGGTTGAGCCTTGAGTTACGTTTGAGAGAAATTTTTAGAAAACGTGAGCGAGAAAATGCGTTGAAAACAATTTGAAAGAAAGTAATGTTATAAGCTAAAAGCGAGTAGGCAACAACAACGGTTTTGATAACATATAACCCGAGTAGGAAGAAGTGACAACTAGTAATATCCCTTATAGTACATTTTGGGGCATTTTAGTCATGATTTTGGTGAATGGTCACACACCTCCGTATTGGCACAACATGAAATAGTAAAGGCGTATCTAAGATGAAAGCATGTAAAATGAGTTTGGAATGGGCATGTGCCATGGACAACACGTTCTGGACAAGCATGACCGGGATATCCAACATGCGGCCATTATACAATACGCCTTAGACAAACATGACTGTGACACTATGCAACTAAACTTGGTGCCATTGGCTCTAGTAGTAAGAAACTATGATACTTGGTGTATCCGAGGTTCTAGGTTGTTCAAGCCCATACAGAAAAATGTGTAAAGTCTCCTAGAGATTAGTTAGAGAGAGCTACGAGAATAATGCAAGAAATGGAACTCCTCAAAATGTACATCTACGTTTCCTTATTATTAGTCAGAAACTTCTACAAATTCCACATCAATTTGCAGGGGAAGAATCGTAGAGTTTAAGAAACTAATCATTTTTGTGGTTTTTATCCGACACATTCCAGGTTTGTGAGGGATGTCTCTATGTCAATGGTATTGCTCAGGATGAAAGGTTCTTAGCGGAGCGGCCAACATACACCACAAAGTCAACTGTGAGTTTTGTTTCAAACTCTACCTTCTTTTTCATTTCAATGCATCATCCTGCAATTTTCTATGACAGCACTAAGACTTCTAAAGCACGCCCTTAGGGATTTGATAGCAGAATTGAAATGGTTAAGTTGATTTGATTGTGCATGATGATTGGGTATGATGATTGGGTATGATGATTGTAATGGTCCAAGCCCACCGCTAATAGATATTGTTCTCTATGGGCTTTCCCCTCAAGGTTCTTAAAACACGTTTGTTAGAGAGAGGTTTCCACACCCTTATAAAGAATGCTTCGTTCTCCTCTCCAACCGCTGTGGGATCTCACAATCCACCCCCTTCGGGGCCAACATCCTCATTGACACTCGTTCCCTTTTCCAATCGATGTGGGACTCCTCAATCCACCTCCCTTCGGGGTAGTGCGTCCTTGCTGGCACACCACCTCATGTTCACTCCCCTTCGTAGCTCAGCCTCCTTGCTGACACATTACCCGATGTCTGACATTAATACCATTAGTAACGGCCCAAACTCACTAGCAGATATGGTCTTTTTTGGGTTTCCCTTTCGAGCTTCTTCTCAAGGTTTTTAAAACGCTGTTGGGAAGAGGTTTCTACACTTTTATAAAGAATGTTTCATTCTCCTTCCCAACCAACCAATGTGGGATCTCACCAATTATCTCCAAATTCATGGCATTGATTTGTTGGAGTTACATGCACTCATCTCTGACTAAAACCATATTAGTTTCCTGCAGAAAGTAACTTGGAGTTTCTAGTTGTTAATTTTCGCTTGTTTCGAACTTGCAGCAAGTTCCAAAAGGCCATGTTTACGTGTTGGGCGACAACCGCAACAACAGCTACGACTCCCATATTTGGTCAGTGTTACCAAGTTCATGTTATATATGCATGTTATGTTTGCTGGGTGCTGGGTGCTGGTTCTGATCATCTCTGTTATTGTATTTGGTATAAGTTGCAAATAGAAGTGAAGGAATGGAGTATTCATTTTATTGTTCTTTCATTTGAACAGGGGACCTCTTCCCATCAAGAACATTATTGGGAGATACCTCTGGTCTTGCCACAACCCAACTACCAAATGACTTCATTTAACACTATCAAGTTTGTAAGTTCCACATCCTCATATAACATTATTTTATTTTTCTTTCATAGATATGATTCTATGAATAAAGAAACAATTTTTTTTAATTTTTTTATTCTGATGTGTGGTTGGTTAACTCTGTATTCTAAAATTTAGTATTAATATTATAAATATTTTTGAAACATTGTACTAATAGTTTCGTCTTATCTTATTTATGATCGTCATCATTTTTGTTACGTAGTTCCCTCACTGATTTCGACTCCTTCATTATTAGCATCTCAAACTCTCTCAATCGTTTGACAGCTTTCAGACATTCATATTTCTTTTGCAATTTATCCCGAACTTCTTTTTTCTATTTTACGATCAATAATTCTAGCAACTATATGTAAGAAATTGAAACCATAGTGAAGATTCTATAATCTAAATGTTACATTGGTTTGATATGATTTAATTCTAACGAAATATTTTAGTATCAAATCTCCCAACAATTATATTATATAAATTTTACGATTTCTGTCAATTCATATGATTTGATTTGATTTCTCGTTGTTCTATTTTGAGAAAAACTACTGTAATATTAGTTTAAATTAATTAGAATATATTAATTTTTAAAATTAATTTAGACAGTGATGAAGAGTAGTGCAAATTAATTATAAATTATAATTAATTAAATAGAAAATTAACAGAAATGACCAAAAATGATTAATAATAAAGTTTACAAGTCAGAGTATAAAATGAAAATTAAATTCTTAATTTAAAAGTAAAAAAATGTAAAAAATATTTTAAAATTTAAGGATGAAATAAATCTAAATTCAAAATTTAAGGATAAAAATATAATAATTTGAAATATTATTTAAAAAAAGTTTATAAAAAAGAAATAATTGAATTCACGTGTCTCTATCTCTCTCAACCACTGGTATGACATGTCTGTGTTGTCAAGCAACTTGCACTTCCAATTGGCCAATCATAGGAGCAGTTTTGTTCCATTCACATTATCAAAGAACACACTTCAATTATTTTTCTTAATTTCCTTTTTATTTTTAAAAACTACTTTGGTTCCAATGGGTTGTATCATTTTCTAATATTATATGTATTTCCAACCAAATTAGTGTATACCACTGAACTCAAAACTTTAATTCAAATCGAGCGATCAAACAAATACTGTGAGAAATGTTTAAATTGAATGATTTTGACATATATAATCGACAACCAACCCTCGAAAAAAGAGTTAAATCATAGGTTTAGTCTCTAAATTTTTAAGTTAGATTAAAATCCCAGTGATCATTAATATCAGTGTTTGACTTAATATAATGACACTGTGAGATTAAGAATATTTTCAACCCACCGTCTACTTTCATATTGACTATTACGTGTGGGTCTCATCGACCTAACTAAAGTCAATGATATATACTAACCTAACCATTTAGGCTATATGCTATATCGAAACTTATGAGTTGACATGTGTTAGTATTATTTATTTAATACTATTAATATTTTGATAGGGATGAGCTATTATAATTTGATAGGCCATTATTTTATGTATGGTATTAATAGATTATTCAATTGACTATGTTAGTGCTCTCCTCCACATTCTAAGATTCCCTAAGATTTTTAAAAATGGTCAATTTATATATTCTTTTTATTTTTTATTTATTTTTAAGGATCAAAATGAAAATATATATATATATATATATATATATATATAATTTATTTTATTTTAAATTATATAAAATATGTCTCAAAGTTTTTTATTTATTTATTTATTTATAAATAAATCAAAAAATGTGTAAAAAAATTAAAAGACAAGGATTTTTGAAGATAAGTATGTCCTTTTGGATAAATTTCTTTTTAAATAATATTATTTGTTTAAATACAAAATTTGAATATTTTGAATTTGAATTTATGGATTTCATAAATCCCTTTTTTTTTTAACTAAAATTAAAATTTTGATTTCGATTTTAAATATGTTTATTTATTTATCTTATTGGATTCCTCATGATGAAAAGACCTAAGGCAAACCACGAAGAATTTGAGGAACAAAGTTTGATGGTTGAGGCTTCGCCACGTGTACGAACAAAATGAATTGTGACCCCACATCCATTAGCTCAATTATGAGTTTTAATTAATTTAACAATTAGTCATTTGACCAAAAATAAGAAATTATTACATTTAACAGATTTAGTGTCCATAATTAGAATACATAGTATTAAATTATTTAAACATTTAAAACATAAATTTATTTTTATTTTTATTTTATTTTATGAGATTTTAATTATTAGTATTTTAAAAATAAAATAAACAATTGGACGATGGCATCCAATTCAATCCAATTTAAGTTAGGTTGATAATTCTATTCAAATCATCTCAGGTTAGTCTGTATTCGAATCATATTGTAATACAGATTTATGTTGAAAATTATTGAGAAGAGTAGTCTCACCTTGACTAATTAAAAGGAAGATCGAGTTTATAAGTAAAGAACGGTATCTCTATTAGTATGAGACATTTTGGGGAAACCAAAAGCAAAATCACCGAAGATTACGCACAAAGTAACCAATATTATATTATTTGTGGAGGTCTGTGATTCCTGACAATTCACACAACCCTTGATAAATATTCTCTTTATCATTTACAAGGAAAATCTCGTGAAAAATACGAGACATTGGAATGTTGTATTAGGTGACATTGCCTTGTTCCTCCTTTTGTCTTAGATTGATGCCTAGGCATCACGACTTCGTCGGACCTATGGTTTCGAATGAATCTTCAAATTGAATCATCTTCAAAATAATAAGATTCAACAAAGCAAACATAATATATATACATAATTTAGTCAAGATTTTGAGTGACCTCGACATTCTCTTACCTTCTTTGAGGTGCAGTAATGATTGAGCGGTAAAAAAGGAAGGTACAACCATGACTGAACCTTCCAAAAAGAGGTGCAATCATGATTGAGCCATAAAAAATGAAGATACATTTTATCATAAGATATAATATTTAGAGTATATATTATTTATGGAATATATTTTAGATATTATATCTTAATATTCTTTTTTTATGATCTGATTTATAATATATTTTATTTTTTTTCTCATTTTTTATTGGTAAGTATGAGTTGCTAGCTTATATCATATTTGAAGCTTATGAATATCAACGAGAACATACTTTCAATCTCAATTCTATTTCTCATTCTTAACATATCAGCTCATTTATGTACCACTTTTTACTCGAACGTGCACAACATCCACGAACACAATTCCCATATTTTGCTTGATTGTTTCACGTCGAGAATAAGAAAATAATAGAGTTTTTACGCATTTAACCCTTAAAATAAGAATAACCATTCAAATAAATAATAAATAAATAAATAAACCTTTTAGCCTGGCGCAATTGATCAAATCAAAACGGGGAATCTATAAGATTAATGTCTCTGCTTTCTCTCAACCAAAATTTTTTTGATTCTTTTTTTTTTTATATATATATTTTTATTAAAAATTAATAATAAAATACACGGCAAAGAGTATAAACATTTATCGGTCCCTTTCACACCGTAAACTTTTGATAAATAATATTCCTTCAAAAAAGCAAAATTTTGGAAACATAGAACAAAATATATACTATACCTTATTCAATGGTCGTATTTTTCACTCCTTTCACTATTATTAAAAGATTAAATTCTGGGTATTCAAATTTTATATTAATAAATTAAATCATACTTCTCGACCGTCCATGCTTTTTATATTTTTACTAATATAATATATTTGACATGTCATTTAATAATATATTATTTTATTTACGAGCTTCGTTCCGATGGGTGGGAATTTGATTCCCTTCCTCAACCTATGGGAATAGATATTTATTGATTTATTTATTTATTTATTTGAAGGGAAGCACAAAGAGTGATGGTCGAGTGAGGTTTGAGATTATTTAAATAAAATCGCTTTTTATTGAAACTATTAATATTAATAAAATAAATAAAGAAATAAATATTTAAAAAAAAAAAAAAAAAAAAAAA